GGGGCACTGCGGGGGGGAGGAGGGCACAGGGGACCATGCACAGGGGGTGGTGGTGGAAGGGGGTGCGCTACAAGGGAGTTCGGGAGAGGGCTATGTGGGGGAAGGACACATGGAAGGGAGCCCAGTGCAAGAGGGTGGGGGCAGCCAGGGAGCAGGTGGAGGGGCTTCTTTTTGTTTTTAAATTGTGATTCAGGTGAAAGTTTACAGAGCAAATTCACTTTCCAAACAGCAGTTCACACTCGTTGTCTCATGACATTGACTACAATTTACCACAGTGCAACAGCTCCCCTCCCACTTTCTCCCGAGAGTCACCTCTTCCCTGTGTCCTTCGCTCCATGCGCTCCTGCCCCCTGAGCTGTCTCCCTGTGCATAAACAGCCCTTCCTTCTCCCATGATTGTTCTCTCCAAGGAGTGTATCTACCTCAGATAAGTATTCAACTCATATGCCTGTCTTTTGTTTGGCTGGAAGCCACAGGCGTGGGCTCAATTCCAGACCTCAAGGGCAGCTGGGGGCCATAGTCTCAGTGGTTCCACCAGGCTCTGTCGGACCAGCAAACCTGGTCACCCCCCCCCCTTTTTTTTTCCCCAGATGATTCTGGGTTTTGTTCCCATTGGTCTCCATCTCTGTCCTGGACCTCCTCCATAGACCCCCCTCCTAGTGGCTGACAGTGGCTGCCAGGGGCTTCTTGATGGGACTCGGCGGTCGGGGAAGGGAGCCGTCTGGACACAGCCTGGCGCTCGCTAGGGACTGGGGTGTGTCCGACTCCCAGGCCTGGGCTTGGTCTGCAGTGGGGTCACTCCTCTTGTATCTTTCTCTCCGCCTTCTGCCTTGTTTTGCCAGCTGGCTCTCAGCCCTCAGGTCAGGCCTGCTCCCAGCACTGGTCTGCCCTTCCCCACTCTCCCAGCCTGGGTCTGGCAGACTCAGCGTTGCTGAAGCCATGAGTTGTCAGCTAGGAAGGGGACTTGGTGGAGGGGGTTGGAGAGAGGGCCACGGGACAGAGCTGGGTGGGTGTCGTCGGTGAAGAACCTCCTGTGAACCAGGTGGGCTTTCAGGTGCACGTCTGATGGAGTGAGATTGGTCTTTGGGGCTCGTCTAGTGGAGGGGAGGCTGGGCCTGGTGGAATTGAAGTGACAGGTGGTGTTGGGAGAGGATTTTAATGTGCAGGAGTGTTCATTGGGGTCCTTGGCCCACAGGGGTGGCAGAGCTAAACATGGGGATGCAGATGGTCCCAGGGGAAAGGCCCAGTCTCATCTGAAAGGGGGCTTCCCCAAACTGCTGTGTTTGGGCCTCGCTCAGGGCCCTGCTGGGGTGGGGAGAAGTGAGTGCTGGGAATCGAGGTGACTGCAGGTTGTGCAGGCAGAGGACTCGGGGGTCAGAGGCAGGGTAGGAGCCTGGCCCCGGCCTTGGGCATAGTGAGACCCTGCAGTGAGCTTCAGGCGGGGCCAGTGACCTCGACCAACCGGGAGGGCTGGTCCCCATGCCCAGGGCTGTGCTGGGACAAACGGGGTGGTTTGTGAGGGAGGCTGGGCTGGCTGAGAGCAAGCACTGGCCGAGGTCTCCTGTCTCTGCATGCCCACCACAAGCTGGCTCATCCTGCTGTCGCAAGTGCCAGCTGTCCTCCTGCGGGGGAAGTCATGCCGCCCTGCTGACGGCTGGGCAGATGGTGGCTGTTTAATTGAATTACGCTTCGTGTGTGCACGTAGTCCCCACCAGACTTCCGTACGCGACGCCCCTACACTCCACGCCGTCCCCGAGTCCTCGTCAGCTCCCCAACCCGCTCCCCCACTGTCCTCACCTGTCACCGTGGCTCAGGCTTGCCCGTTCTCCAACCTGTGGGAGTAGAGTCCTGCGACAGACGGCCCTTGGTGTCTGAGATTCAGCCATTCAGGCACGGGTAGTGCTGGTCTCTTGCCTGCTGCTGTGTGGGGTTCCCATGCAGGACACCCCAGTTTATTCGCTCTGCTGTTGGTGGGCGTTGGCGTTTCGGCTCGTCTGTGGACACTGCCACGGTCACTCTTGGTAAAGCAGCCTCTGTAAACCAGCACTTGTCCTGGGCATCTCCCCAGGTGTGGAGCTCCTAGCAGGGGCAGACAGATGCTACGCTTTACTAGTGACCGGGCACACAGTGTACTGTAAGTAAGTAACCGGCTAATGGGTCGTTTTCATGGGCCTTGACCACTCCTGGGTAAACTGGAAAAAAAAATCCAGCTTCCGGAAGCCTCAGAGCAGAATCCCCCAGAGGTGGGACTCAAACCAGCGTCCGGTTGCCCCTGCCCGGGCTCTCCCCCACCGTGACCTGCGCTGTGACTGTGGTCTGGGCCTCCAGCCACCTGGGCCTCAGGCCTCTTTCGGGCTGGGCCCTGGGGCGCCCCTCACTGGCTTCTCTCTCTGCAGGCACGAGCCTGCTGCAGGAAGTGGTCTACCTGGTGAGCCAGGGGGCTGACCCCGACGAGATCGGCTTGATGAACATCGACGAACAGCTGCCCGTGCTGGAGTACCCTCAACCCGGCCTGGACATCATCAAGGTGCTGGGCACCCTCTCCACCCCGGGCCGCTGCCACGCGTGCACCCTCACAGCCGCTGCTGAGGGCCCCGGAGAGTTCACGGCGCCCTGGGCGGGTGGGAGCTCCCCAGTAGCCCAGACCCCAGGAGAGAGAAGCCACCAGGCCTGAGCGGTGACAGTGACCCTGGGAGGGCCAGCGGGAGCGTGGTGGCACGCCAGTGCCCAAGGTGTCTGGGGGATAGACGGGGAGATGCCCGGTGGGGGTGTGGGTGCTGGGCTCGGGGCCTCCCTCCGCTCCCACTTCCCCTGTGGCTCGCTGTCTGTCAGACGCTCGGGAGGAGGCGCTGCGGTGAATGTGGGGTACAAACCAAAACCAAAAACCAAACTCGCTGCCCTCGAGTCGGTCCCGACTCATAGTGACCCCCTTGGGGTTTCTGAGGCGGTAGATCTTCACGGGAGTAGATTGCCCAGTCTGCCTTCCGAGGAGAGGCTGGTGGGTTTGAACCGCCAGCCTTCTGGTCAGCAGTCAGATGCCTCAGGCACTATGATGACCCTGCTGTACCTCCACCTCTGGCTTTTCTCTGCGCCCCGCCCCCCAAAAAAGTTCAGGCCTCGTTTCCTACCTGAAGGGCCTCCTGTCCTTTCTCCCCTTGGCTACTAGGGGGTCCATTGATAACATAACTGGGAGCTGGCAGCCTGGTGTGTCCACAGTGGCTTTCAAAGCAAAGCCCTGGGTTCTGTGTGAGCTGCCCCACCCCGACCTCTGGGCCTCTGCTCCCCTGCCCCTCCCCCATCTTGGATGGACCCCACGTTGAGTCATGCTGTTAGATTGTGGTCCCGGCCACTGGTACCAACCCCCCCCTAGACATTGGGGTGTGGCCCTGAACTAATGTGACATAGTCATGGCACTCACGGAACTCAGACAAGACAGTAAAGATAGCGGCATCATGGGTGGTGCTGTGTGAGCCCTTGTGCGGGGTCCAGGCCCTTCCAGGTCTCCCCGCTGCTGAGTCAAGGAGAGGCTGAGGGGCAGCAGTGGGGGTGGCGAGGCCGGGTGGCAACATGCTAGCGCCTCCACTGCCCACCTTCCCTGGGCGGCCGCCTCGCTCCTGGGTCCTCTGACAGGCTGTCTCCTCAGCTGTGAGGGCCTGAGGACAGGGACCATGCGTCACTGTCAGTCCTCGGGGTCCTGCTTCAGGCGTCTGTTCTGGAGAAGGGTGTCGGGTGGAGAGCAGGGTCCTGGCTTTGCCCCCCACTGTCCCTGTGGGCCCTGACAGGAGACTCTGAGTAGCTGTGGTCCCCTCTGAGGGCCCCTCCCTCTGCCCGTGCAGGAGCTGACGTCACCACGCCTCATGAAGAGTCACCTCCCCTACCGCTTCCTGCCCGCCGACCTCCACAACGGCGACTCCAAGGTGAGCCCGCCCCCTTCTCCCCTGAGCCACCCTGTCGAGGGACCCCGAGGCGGTGCCAGTCCGGGCAGCAGGCCTGTCAGCCGAGAACTTGGGGCTGTCACATGTCTTCTGGGGCTGTGTCCTGCCAGCGTCTTCTGCAGGCTTTCGACTTGGTGTTTTTCCCACGTGACCGTGGGTCACGCGCCCTGAGCCCTGCGTGGGCCTGGCTCGGCCTGAGGCCACCCCTGCTGCCCTTACGGCCGCTTGCTCTCTGCACGCTGCATGCTCGTCAGGCCCGTAGCGCACCGGCAGCATCTGCAGCACGGTCTGTCCCCCCGGCTTTACAGCCGTCACCAAGGACGGAAGCGTAACAGCTAGGCCGGCAGATGGGGTCATGGGAGCAGGGCCCTGTGCTGGAGCACAGCCGGCGTGCCTGGGCCGGGTGGTGGCGCAGGAAGTCGATGTCTGACACTCGAGGGCGGGGCTGCGTCAGCCCGGCCACACTCACGAGCCCCTGCCCCCCAGGTCATCTACATGGCTCGGAACCCCAAGGACCTGGTGGTGTCCTACTACCAGTTCCACCGCTCGCTCAGGACCATGAGCTACCGCGGCACCTTCCAGGAGTTCTGCCGGAGGTTCATGAACGACAAGCGTAAGTGTCCACGGCGACCTGTCCGCTGTGCCAGGGCCCAGTGGTGGGAGCTCACCTCTACTGTCTCATATTCCTCCAGTGACCCTGTGGGTCAGGCCTCCTTTCCCCACTGACCTACCGGTCCCGAGAAGTTCCCGCAGGTGGCCCACCCCTCCCTCCCTCCCTCCTCGGCTGGGGAGAAGGGGAGCCAAGTGAGCACGGGGGCCCCATGCCACCGTTGTTGGTGGTGGGAGCTGAAGGGCAGGTGGGGCACCAGTGGGACTTGATGGGAACCTGGGATCAGGCTGCCTGGGCCCCCCACGCCTGGTACCTGTCGATGGAGTGGGGCCAGAGCAGACGCCCCCGAGCTCTGCCCAGGCTGCCTGGAAGCTCGTTCCCAGGGGCAGAGGCTGGGCGGGGCCGCGGGTGCCAGTGCCCATCCCCTGTGTCCCTTCCTAGGAAGAGTGAGTCGCTAGACAAGCTTGGTGACACCAGCCCCTCACAGGAGAAGGAAGTGCTGCTGCTGGTCCCCGGGGCTGGGCTCTCTGTGCCCGCAGGCTGCTGTCAGCCACCTGTCAGTCCCGCTAGGCTCCTGCCTTCCTGGGCTGGCTCCCCCACTGCCAGCGAGCTGCTAGGGGTTCCTTCTAGGACTGCAAGCGGGTGGGTTAGAGTTTGCCCCAGAAGAGTTTTGAAATGGCCCACCACCCTGCTTGACAGCTACACTGAGACTATCCTGGCCCTGCCTTTGGAAACGCACTGTATTATGTTTTCATTGTTGTTGACAGTAGATGGCAGCAGAACATTTGTCGGTTGAGCCGTTTCTAACAGACATTTCAGTGACAGGGATGTCGTGCGACCATCCTCGCCCTCCTTTTCCAGATGGTCCCTCCTCCAGTCACATAACCCAGTGTCCCTCAGGCTCCTGTCTGACCGTTGGAGCGCCTGCTGCCGCTTGGAGCCCGTAAATAGCTTTTGAAACGAGCGCACTGCTCAGAGCCGACCTTCTTCACGAGGGAGGTTCAGTTGTTGCTGGGCTTGAAGAAGACTTGAGGGGCTGGTGGTGGTTTAAGGTCCAGAGGTGGTAGTTTGGGGGTTCATCTCATCTCCACGGCAGCCCCACACACGTTGTGTTCACACGGTGTCCTGTGTGCCTTCTGGGGGCTCTGCCGTGAGAGTATGAGGCAGGATTGGGATCAGGTGCACAGGGTCCCAGGAGTGAGGGGCCCACAGACTGAGCTGGAGGCAGGGCAGCCGGGCCGGAGCCACCTGGGCCCAGTGGGCTCTCGAGTCTACAGTGTGGGGCCCTTGTGGCTGGGGAGGAGCGTGGGGGCTCTGTGGGCCTGAGGCTTCGGTTCCCGTCCAGTGAGTTGTGTCTGCTGTGCTGTTACAGACTGGCCTGCCCGCACCCCAGGGCCCTAGGCTGGCTGAAGGCCTCTGTCCGGTCCCCACGGCCCCAGCCTGCCTGCCCGAGGGCTCAGGCCCTCTCATGCTGTGCCTGGTGTTTTGAGCAGGGCACTTGTGTTTCCAAAGCCATTTCCTGAAGTGCCAGGCTGCTCTCCTCCGTGAAGACAGTGCCACCATGAACAGCAGTTGGCCACCAAGTTCACACAACCCTGGGGCAGCCCAGGTCATCTTGGGGTTAGCCTCCACATTTTCCAGGTCCATACCCTGCCCACCACTGGTGCTCAAGTCCACAGACACTAGCTTGGGTCCCACCAAACCCGGTGGCCAAGTCCATCAGCCTCCCAACCTTCTGTTCCGTTCACGTCCTCGGAGCTCCCGGCCAGTGGCCCATGTCCTGGAGCCTCCAAGAGACTCGCTTTTCTCCCCCCTGAGATCCTGAGAAGGTGAACCAAGCCACAGGTGGGGCCCTAACGTGACCGCTAAGAGCACAGGGTGGGAGGTGGGGTACAGAGGGCCGGGGGGACCTGCTGGCAGATGCTGGGGTTGGGTGTGGCGGCCCCTCCCGCATGCCCCAGGAGAGATGCGCATCTTGGATCGTGAGCGCTGCAGGCAGCTTGGGGCCGGGGAGGTGGGTGAAGGGATCCTTGTTGTCTCTCACAGGCACCAAGCAAGTGAGCGGTGAGGGCTGGGGGGCTGGGAGTGGCCCTGGCTGAGCCCTTGCCCAGGAGGCAGCATCTGACTGGGAAGGCACGTTCCCCAGGGCCCTCCACGTCCTTGTCACACTCTGCCCCATCAGCACAGACCCATGTTGCATGATACATGTCAGAACTCCTCGTTAGCTCTCACTCCCATTCTGTGGTCTCCGGGCCTCACAGGTGGGCACCCTCCTGGGACATGTGAGAGCCCCGTAGGCTGTGCGCTGCGAGTCCTGGAGGCCGGCCTGTCAGTAGGAAGAAGGATTTTCTTCTGTCCTCCTGGGGCTGTTTGAGTAGCCTGCTCCAGGGCCCCGGCCAGCTGGGTGTAAGCAGGCCAGCCGGGCGGTCTGACCGAGGACGCCTGGTTCCCTTGGTCCTCTGGCTCTAGCCCGCCGGCTGACTTGGGTTAGTCACTCCCTGCTCTGGGGTGCGGCGTTTCTCTCTGGAAGGAGAAGGTCAGGCTAGCTGCCTTTTAAACGGAAGTCCATGTGTCTGCGTGTCTTCTCCTTCCTGGCGTCCAGGAGGGAGCAGTGCCCGGGGGCTGGGGCCTGACGGGTCCGGCTCCTGGAGACATCTGCAGCCAGTCACACGGCCTGTCCCTTCTCCAGATGGAATGCTTTGCCCCTGCCCCCCCCCCCTTGGTTTACAGGCAAAGAGATGGAGGCGCCAAGCAAGCGGTCCAGGGACTTAGCCACAGCAGGGCCTCCTTCTGGCTCCCACGTGTTCTCGGTTCTCCCGTTTCTGCCCAGCCAGCCCCCTCCAGAGCCCCGACTTGGTGAATTGCAGGCCCAAGGCGGCCCAGGAGGCTCAGCTCCCTGGGCTCCGGGCACAGGCTGTGCTCTGCTGCCACCTGCTGGTGCGATAGGGCACCGGCGTTGGCGCTGCAGGCTCCCTGGGAGGATGTGAGCCCCAGTTCTTCTGAGCTCTGCTGCGTTAAGTCAAAGTGGTCTCCGCAGCTGGGGCCCAGGCTCATTCTCCACTTGAGGCCTGACTTCTGTGGGTGGAACCTGGTCCCGCAGCCGTGGCTGGGCCTCAGTCTCTCCTCTGTTCAGGTCGGACAGCCCTCTAGGCCAGTGCCTTCTCCACAGGGCTGCCAGCGTGACGAGACACTCAGGCCAGGGCCTGAACTGAGAGCTGGACATGCGTGACCTGTGTGCCCGGCTGCTCTGTGATATTACAGGCAAGGCAGCTTGCCCTGGGCCCCACGGCCCGGCGAGGCTCTGGGAGGTCAGAGCTTGCCTCTCCCCACCTGCCCTGGTGCCCTGGCTCCGACCTGACCGTGTCCTGTTCGTCTCCTCCTGTGGCCTTCCCACTGGTGCCCTTTAAGGTCCAGACGTCTTGGCTGCCGTTGGAAGCCCTCGGGGTGCCATCTCCTGCCCCTGGTGCTCAGGGCCCAGCCACGTCCCCGTGGGCCGCCTCCTTGTTCCTGCTCTTCCCTGCTGCTTGGGAAGAAGGGCCCAGCAGACACACACAGACGCCTCTCTTCCCCTTGTGCCAGCCTCCCCCTTCCCAGCCCTGTGACACTTGGCCCCGGGGCTCTGTCCCTTGTGTGGCACCCCTGCCCCCAGGGTCAGTCACACCGTATCATGAGCTCTGGATTCCTTGGTGGTCCCTGTTGGAGGATGAATTCCTGGGCCCCAGATTGTGAAGACCCTGGAGTTTGCTAAATGGAAGATGGATGGACGAACGGATGAGAGAGTATATGGGCAGCCCAGCCCCTGCTCCCGGACAGTCAGGGTGTGCCCGAGGTCCCGTCTTTGTTAAGCTGTAACCCTCATTTGGAAGTGTCATGTCCAGACCCCTGTCAGGCCGGGCAGGCAGCTCAGCACCATTGTGGCAAGGAGAGACAGGGAGGTTGGCTGCGTGGTAAAGAACAGGGCGGTCAGCTGGCCACACCCTCCCGAGGCTGCCTTGTCAGGGACACTGTCCTGAGCCCGTGTCACCAGGAGTCACCAGGACGCTCCCCGTGGCCTGTTGACGTTCACCTAGGGCTCTGCCTGTGCGACCTTCACGTTCACCCAGACTCTCCCTTTGTGATGGTCACCTTCCCTGCAACTGTGTGACTTCCACATTGACTTAGGGCTCTGCCCGTGGCCCCCTGATTGGTAGGGCCCCATGCTCTGGACCTATCCGAGCACCTCCATACCTCGCCCTCCGTCCCCAACAAAGTCCACTGTTCCTCTGGTCTGGCCCCTGTGGGTGTGTGATCTGCCAGGTGACTGCTTGTCAGACAGACTCCCAAGTACGATTGAGACCCCTGCCAGGGGCCGTCCTGCCTGTCTGCCACCACGGGCAGATCTTCAAGGTTCCAGGGGTGGGGAAGGGGGACCATTGGCAGAAGCCTGCTCAGAGGCAGCAGGGGTGGGGCAGGACCCCTGATGGGCTTATCTGGGGAGCTGCAGCCACGCCCAGAGCGCACCCTTCCCTTCCTGATCCCTGGCTGAACTTGTCAGGATCACCGGGCAGCAGGAGAGAGCCAGGCCAGCTCTGTGGCTGGCTCCCTCCCTCAGCTGTGTGACTCACCTGTCCCCTTGTCTCCACAGTGGGATACGGCTCCTGGTTTGAGCACGTGCAGGAATTCTGGGAACACCGCATGGACTCAAACGTGCTTTTCCTCAAATACGAAGACATGCACCGGGTGAGTTGTGTTGGCAGCTGCGTTTGCTGGGGACTCTGTGGCCCTTGTCCTAGCAGTTCCTCATGCCAGAACCGTCTGCTGTGTGTGGGGAGGATGTGGGGTGCACGGAGCTGCCTGCTGTGTGCGGGCAGGGGTGCACAGAGCCACCTACTGTGTATGGGCAAGGGGGCAGGGTGCAGAGAGCCACCCACTGTCTGTGGGCAGGGGTGTGGGGTGCACAGAGCCGCCCCCTGTGTATGGGCAAGGGGGCAGGGTGCACAGAGCCACCCGCTGTGTGCGGGCAGGGGTGCGGGTGTGCAGAGCCACCCGCTGTGTGCGGGCAGGGGTGTGGGGTGTGCAGAGCCACCCGCTGTGTGCGGGCAGGGGTGCGGGGTGTGCAGAGCCACCCGCTGTGTGCGGGCAGGGGTGCGGGGTGTGCAGAGCCTGCTGGCCCTCCGGAGATAGCACGTGGATGTAGCTGGAGGTGCTCGGCACAGCCACCTGAAGCCCCTGGAGCTGTGGTGGTCTTGGGACTCGGCAGTTCCCGGGCTGTGCCCTGAACCCTGCTGGGCCTGTGCTCGTGCCGCAGCCATCTCCCTCCCAGGTCCCTGTGACCCGTGCAGCCGTCAGGACGTGCACCCTGTGCCACCCGAGGCACGTTCCTTCCCCGGAAGTAGAGCTGCAGCCACAGACGACCAGTGTGGAGGGCCGTGTGCCTTTGGGGGGCCATTCAGGCTCCCGGCCAACCCCCAGGGGCTGTGTGTGAGGCGGCGCGTGCGAGGCGTGGCTGAGTGTCCCATGTGGCGTCTGGCACTGGTGGAGGAGCACCAGGGAGGCTGCGGGAACACCCCGCTCCTTGCGGGCTGACGGGGTGGGCAGGGCGGGCGCCAAGGAGGTTGGGTCTGCCCTGGGGACCCGCTGCCCACAGTTCACGTGTCGCCAGCAGCACCTTGTCGCTGCCATCACATCCCACTCACCCCACAGTGGCCCCGTGACAGAGTGCAGCTGCCCGTAGGGTGTCTGGGTGTAACCTTCATGGGGGCTCATCACCACGCTTTTCCCGTGGAGCCGCTGAGTGAGTCCGTCTGCTGGCATTTTGGTTCTCAGCTGAGTGCTTAGCCGTTGAGCCACCAGGGTGTCTTTCACCAACACCTGAAGGGCCTTCCTGTGTCCCGGGGACTGTCCCAAGTGCCTTGTAGACACGTGAGCACCGTGAATTCTCAGGACGCTTCTGTCCCTGCGGGGTGTGCACCCTCACTAGGGAAACAGGCTGATGCCTCAGACCCCCTCCCAGCTCCTGCCCGCTTCTCTGCTCCGTGTTCCTTAAGCTCCTCAGGGAGTTGTCACCTGCATCCCCACTCCTTCCTCTCCTCCTGTTCTCTACTGACGTGTAATTCACAGACCATAAATTCACCTTAAAACGCACAGTGCAGCTACCCGTCATCCTGCCTGCTTTCAGGACATTCTTGTAATCCCAGTGTCATTTCCTCCTGAGCCCACCCTGCCAGGAGCCCCCATGCCCCTGAGCAGCCTTATTGGGGTCATCAGAGTCCTGAGCCAACCCCATCAGAACCCCCACACCTGCAAATGTCCTTATTGGGGTCACCGGTGTCCTGAGTGCACCCCACCAGGGCCTCTACCCCACGGTGGTCCTCCTCATCTTGTCCTCTGACTGGTGGCCGTCCCGGCTCAGTTCGTGGCCTCGCCTCTTCCTGCTCATGCCTACTCCCTGGCGATCTGCCGTTCCTCATCCTTGAACAGCACCGCTGCCCGAGCGTGTGGCCAGGCGTGTGCTCGCTGTAGACGTGCGTGCCAGTGGCCGTTCACCTCCTGATGCTGCAGGTGGGTGCGTCCACGCGGCCTCCACTCCGCTCTGTCCTCGGCAGCCCCTCCCGTCCGTGTTTCCGAGATCTTCAGGCAGCAGCTTGACTCGTCCTTGCCTCCTCTCCTCCTCACACCTTACCTGTGTCCACTGTCCACATCCTGTCAGCTCCTCCTTCAAAACGTACCTCCCAGTTTCTCCTCTCTCCGCTCCGCTCACCAGGGCTGTTGGTGGGGCCTCTCCCCACAGTCTTGTGTTCCATAATCCACTGAAAAGACCGTAGGCTACCCCGTGCTGCAAGGCTGGGCCGGGCGTGCTGCTCCACCACGTGGGCTCTGTGGTAGTTACGGGGGTGTGTCAACTTGGGTGGGCAGCTGGATGCAGTGCTCCCCGGGATGACCCTGTAGTCGCCTCCTGGTGGAATGTCCTGAGCAGCCGAGTAGCTGCCCTAGGGATGTGGTCTGCTCCCAGGGCACGGGGAGAAGCTTTGGGAAGGCCTCCAGCTTCTTGGCACACCCGGCTTCTGTGTTTGGCCTCGTCTTCCATCCTGGCGGCCTACCACGTTCCCTGCTGATACTGGGTGGTTCCCGGACTTGAACCTGGGGCCTGCTGGGTGCTTGTTGATCTTGGGACAGTGACGCTTTACTTGACGACCTTGGGCTGCTCAGCCTCAGCAGCCAGCAGCTGCGTGAGTCAGAAAAAGCCTCCAGCTCTTAGTGGGCCGGGAACAGGAGACAGAGCTGAAGTCTAGATCGAGGGGCTTTCACCCAGCCCCTAGAGCTGGCACTTTGCACTCAGACTTCTAGCCTCCTAAACTGTAAGACAGTAAACCCCTATTTGTTAAAGTCATCCACTTGGTACGTCTGTTACGGCAGCACTCGAGGACCAGCACAGGCTTCCAGTGTGTCACCCCCGTGTGTCACCCCCGTGCCTTGAGTACAGCTCTGGGGATGTGCTCCCGTTACAGGAGAGGGGCCTGGGGCTGCGTGACTGTGTGCCCAGCAGGTACGTGGCAGGACTGGGCTTGGGACCTGGACACTTGGGCTCAGTGGCCGCGGTGCACTGCCTCTTCCACAGCCCATACAGCCCAGTTGATGTCCCCACCCCCCATGCACATGTGGGGAGACAAAGCCCCAAGGCCGACCTTGCTGCCCAGAGCTCGGATGCCCTGGTGCTGGCATTGGACCTAGGTCTGCCTGATTCTAAGTGTGCCTCAGAACCACCACCACCCGGTAGCACCTGCTGGACACAGGCTGGCAGATAGTGATGTCACCCTCCCCTCTGAGAGGATGTCATGCCGGTGACCCAGACACAGACCGGGTCTCTGGTCACTCGGGCCTGCTCCGCACTGGGGCTTCCCTTCCGGGACCTGCTGCTGTCGCCGCTGTGTGGTTTTGAATAGAAGTGCTCAGTGGCAGGGCAGGTGAAGGTGAACCCTGGTTTTTGCCCGCCCTCCTCTCGTGGTGCCCGTTCCGAGCCAGGCTCTTCCACAGGAACGTGGCGCCTCCATGCTGTCCTCCTGCCTCGTGCTCAGGTGGGGGCCGGGGAGGCCCACCCAGAGCCCTGTGAGTAGAGCCCGTGGGGCCTCGATTGTCACGTGGGACCCAGAGAGCAGTGGCCTCACCGCAGCCTCCAGGGCATTGTTGTGTTAGGAGCTGTGGACTGGGCGCCGACTCGTGGCAACTGTGTGTGGCAGGAGGAAACACTGCCCCGTTCTGCACCATCCTCCCAACCTCCGCTGTGCTTGAGCCATCATTGCGGCCATGGCGTCCGTCAGCTCGTGGAGGGTCTCCCACAGCTCACTGACCTCTGCTTTACCCAGCGTGGCACACTGTTTTCCAGGGCCCGCTGCTTCCTGACGCCGTGACCAGAGGACGAGAGGCAGCCTGGCCGTGCTCTCTTCCAAGGAGTATTCCAGCTGTGCTTCTTCTGGGACAGCTTTGTTCGTTCTTCGGACAGCCCATGATGCTTTCAGCATTGTTCGCCAGCACAACTCAGAAGCATCAGTTCTTCTTCAGTCTTCCTTACTCATTGTCCAGCTCTCACGTGCATGTGAGATGACTGAAAACACCATGGCTTCTGTCAGGTGCACCCGGGTCTTCAAAGAGACATCTCTGCTCTTCAGCCCGTTAAAGAGGGCTTTTGCCGCAGATTTGCCCAGTGCTGTACATTGTTTGATGTCTTGACTGCTGCTTCCATGGGTGTTGACTATGGAACCAAGGAATATGAACTCTTTGACAACTTCAATCTTTTCTCCATTTATCGTGATGCTGCTTATTGGTCCAGTTGTGAGGATTTTTGTTTTCTTTATGTTGAGGTGGAATCCACACTGCAGACTGTAGTCTTTAATTTTCATCAGTAAGTGCTTCAAGTCATCCTCACTTTCAGCAAGCAAGGTTGTGTCGTCTGCATGTCAAAGGTTGTTAATGAGTCTTCCTCCAGTCCTAATGCCATGTTCGTCATGTAGTCCAGCTTCTCGGATTATTTGCTCAGCATACAGATTGAATAAATGTGGGGAGAGGATACAGCCCTGACATAGACCCCATTTCAAACCCTGCAGTGTCCCCTTGTTCTGTCTGAGTAACAGCCTCCTGCTCTGTGTATAGGTTCCTCGTGCGCACATTTAAGTTGTTCGGATTCCCATTCTTCTCAGTGTTATCTGTAATTCGTTAGGATCCACACAGTCAAATACTTTTGCATAGTCCATAAAATACAGGTAATCGTCTTTCTGGTATTCTTTATCTTCAGCCGAGATCCATCTGACATCAGCAGTGATATCCTTTGTTCCACATCCTCTTCTGAGTCCAGCTTGCATTTCTGGAAGTTCCCTGTCAGTACACTGCTGCAGTTGTGTTTGAATTATCTTCAGCAAGATTTTACTTACATGTGTTACTAATGCTATTGTTCGATAATTTCCACATACGGGATCACCTTTCTGTGGAAGAGGTACAAATGGATCTCTTCCAGTCAGCTGGCCAGGTAGCTATCTTCCAAATCTCTTGGCATAACCGAGTGAGTGCCTCCAATGGGGCATCCATTTGTTGAAAGATCTCAGTGGCTATTCTGTCAATTCCTAGAGCTTTGTTCTTTGCCACTTCCTTCAGTGCAGCTGTGACTTCTTCCTTCAATATCATTGGTTCTTGATCATATGCCACCGCCTGAAATGGATGAACATTGACCAGTTCTTTTTGGTGCAGTGACTCTGTGTATTCCTTCCATCTTCTTTTGATGTTACCTGCACATGCAGTATTTTGTCCATAGAATCTCTCAGTATTGCAACTCGAGGCTTGAATTTCCTCTTCAGTTCTTTCAGCTTGAGAAATGCCAAGCATGTTCTTCCCTTTGGTTTTCTAACTCCATGTCTTTGCAACATTTCATTATAATTGACTTTGTTTTCTCAAGCTGCCTTTGGAAATCTTCTGTTCAGTTTTTTTATCTTGCCGTATCTCCCGTTCACTTTAGCTACCCTCTGCTCAAGGGCAAGTTTCAGAGTCTCTTCTGACATCCATTTTGGTGTTTTCTTCCTTTCCTGTTTTTTAAATGACCTTTTGCTTTCTTTATGGATGATGTTCTTGATGTCATTCCACAGTTCTTCTGGTTTTCAATCCTTGGTGTTCGATACATGAAATCTGTTCTTCAGATGGTCTCTCAATTCTTGGGGGATATGTTCAAGGTCATGTTTTGGCTCTCATGGACTTGTTTTAATCGTCTTCAGCTTCACCTTGAACTTGCACATGAGCAGTTGATGGCTTGTTCCACAGTCAGCTCCTGGCCTTGTTTTGGCTGAAAATATTGAGCTTCTCCATTGCCTCTTTCCACAGATATAGTCGATCTGATTCCCATGTACTCCACCTGGCGAAGTCCACGTGTGTAGCTGCTGTTTGTGTTGTTGAAAAAAGGTATTTGCAATTAATAAGTTGCTGGTCTTCCAGAATTGTATCATGCAATCTCCAGCATTATTTTATCACCAAGGCCATATTTTCCAGCTACCGTTGATTCTTCTTTTGTGTGCAACTTTTGCATTCCAGTCACCAGTGATAATCAGCACATCCTGATTGCAAGTTTGGTTAATTTCAGACTACAGAAGTTGGTAAAAATCTTCAATTTCCTCATCTTTGGCTTTGGTGGTTGGTGCATAAATTTGAATAATAGTAGTGTCGACTAGTCTTCTTTGTAGACGTGTTGATACTATCCTATCAGTGACAGCATTGTACTTCAGGATAGATCTTGAAACATCCTTTGTGATGATTAATGCCACATCATTTCCTCTTCAATTTGTCATTCCAGGCATAGTATGGTTGTCTGATTCAAAATGGTCAAAACCAGTCCATTTCAGCTCACTAATGCCTGGGTTACCAATCTTTATGATCCTTCAATATTGCAACTTGAGGCTTGATGGTTTTCTTCAGCTCTTTCAGCTTGAGACATGCTGCATGTGTTCTTCCTGTTTGGTTTTCGAAGTCCAGGTCTTTGCACATTTTGTCTTATTCTTTGTCTTTTCGAGCTGCCCTTTGAAACCTTCTGTTCGACTCTTCTGTGTCATCACTCCTTCTATTCACTTCAGCCACTCTCCTTTCAAGAGGAAGTTTCAGAATCTCTTCTAATGTACATTTTGGTCTTTTCTTCCTTTCCTCTCTTTTTAGTGACTTTTTGGTGTTTTTCATGGATGATGTTCTTGATGTCATCCCATAATTCCTCTGGTTTTCAGACATTGGTGTTCAGTGCATCAACTCTGTCCTTTAGATGGTCTCTAAATTCAGGTGGAGTATAATCGGGGCTGTATTTTGGCTTTCATGGCCTTTTCTAATTGTCTTCAGCTTCAGGTTAAACTTGTGTGGGAACACGTGGTGGCCTGTTGCTGTCAGCCCCTGGCCGTGTTCTCACTGATGCTGGGCGCCTCCATGGCCTCTTCACACGGATGGAGTTGCTTTGGTTCCTGTGTACACATCTGGTGAGGCCCACGTGTGAACACCGTCTGTGTTGCTGGATAAGGCACGTGTAGTGCAGTAAGTCATTGTCCGTGCAGTGCTCTATTGTGCGGCCTCTGGTGGTTCTCAGGGGCAAGAAATGCCGCATGAAGGAGGCGCTCCTGGGTTCTCTGCTGCAGGCCTCCTCTGAGCCTTTTCTGCTAATTTGCTTTGTTAAGCAGCTGAGGAAGGGCCTTCAGTGGGTCTCGCCTGCAGGTGACACTACCTGCTCTGTGAGGGGGACCCCGGCCATCAGCGAGGTCCAGGCTAGAGCACTCTGTGCAACACTGACTGAGAGATTGGGGTGCTCTGGGGTTTCCTAGGGGGGATGGTACGGGGAGCAGGCCTGTGAGCCCCGCCATGTGGACGGTACGGGGAGCAGGCCTGTGAGCCCCGCCATGTGGACGGTATGGGGAGCAGGTGTGTGAGGCCCGCTGTGGGGACGGTACAGAGAGCAGGCCTGTGAGCCCCACCATGTGGACGGTACAGGGAGCAGGCGTGTGAGCCCCGCTGTCTGGCTGTCCCACTGGTGGATGCTCTGCCTGCCCTCTGAGGGATAGTGGGGCCTCTGTGTGGTTCTACATCCAGGGATAGTGGGGCCCCCACGTGGCTGTATGTCCAGGGATCGGGGGCTCCCACGTGGCTGTATGTCCAGGGATAGGGGGCTCCCATGTGGCTGTATATCCAGGGATAGCGGGGTCCCCACATGGCTGTATGTCCAGGGATAGCGGGGTCCCCTGTGTGGCTCTACGTCCAGGGATAGTGGGGCCCCCACATGGCTCTACGTCCAGGGATAGTGGGGCCCCCACGTGGCTCTAAGTGCAGGGATAGTGGGGCCTCCACGTGGCTCTACATCCAGGGATAGTGGGGCCCCCGTGTGGCTCTACGTCCAGGGGTAGTGGGGCCCCCACGTGGCTCTACGTCCAGGGATAGTGGGGCCCCCACGTGGCTCTACGTCCAGGGATAGTGGGGCCCCCACGTGGCTCTACGTCCAGGGATAGTGGGGCCCCCACGTGGCTCTATGTCCAGGGGTAGTGGGCCCCCATGTGGCTGTGTGTCCAGGGATCCGGGAAACACGAACTCTTGCTCCCGAGGAGCCAGGTGAGATGGGCTGGGGCACGGGCCCGAGAGCCTTCTTGCCCAGGACCAGGCTGGAGGGGCGGGCACAGGGGCCTCTGGCAAAATCCTGACGTAAAGTTGTATCTGCTGTTGCCATTTTAAAATGAAGCCATCTCGTCTGTTTCCGAGCGCCCCACAGGACCTGGGTTGGAATTCACGTGCGTGTGTCCGTGTGTAGGGCAGGCTCACGCCTGTGGCAGCAGCTGTGCCGTCGTGCAGGGGGAGGGGCCCTTCTCACCACGGCTCCTGTGCTCTCTCTCTCCCTGCCTTCCAGGACCTGGCGACTGTGGTGGAGCAGCTGGCACGGTTCCTGGGGGTGTCGTGTGACAAGGCCCAGCTGGAGTCCATGACCGAGCACTGCCACCAGCTTGTGGACCAGTGCTGCAACGCTGAGGCCCTGCCCGTGGGCCGGGGTATGCACCTGCCCCCGACCCCGCTCTCCTGGTCCCGTGTCCTGAGCCTGTGCCTGGCGCTCAGTTGCCCTGCCCTTCGTTCTTCAGGGCCGGTCCCTGGTAGTACCATGGACCCGTGGAGTGTCACCCTGTGGTCTCTGCGTGCCGGCCACGCACGCAGTGTGTGACCACCACCGCGGGTGCCCTGGGCTCTGAAGCAGGCGCAGGAGCTGGGTGTTTCTGGGCACAGCCTCCTGGTTGTCCAGAGTCGGAGTTGGGTGGATGCGGGCTGTCTGCAGAGGCAGGCCCAGGGGTGGCATGGCGCCTGCGTTTCAGAGACAGGGCGAGGGAGCCACTCCTGAGCCTGCTGCCTGCAGCTGGCATGTGGCTGAGGTACAGGGGTGACGTGGGGCACGGGTGGGAG